TTCGTAGATGATGATGATGTGAAGCAAGCAATAAGGGAAGCTAAGCGTCATGTAGTCAGGGCAGCATATAGTCGAGGATGTTAGATTAGATAATCATTAGGTGGAAACTGAGATCAAATTAATGATGAATCGGAAGAAGAATGCAGCATCATCCAGTAGGAGGGAGGAAGAAAGAGAGGGAAGGGAATGGGGAGAGAAGAGGGCCCCATCATCATCATCTACTACTATGAATGATGTTATCGATTTGGATTGTGATTTCGGCAAGATCATACAACAAGCATTATATAATACACAATGCCCATTCAAGACTCTCGGATTAGATCCCAGGAATACAATTATAACAGGTATTATCAATTATTACACTCACATATTATCCATTATTATTATGATAGTAGCAGATGTAAAGAAGAGATGGGCTAAACTCATACTTACACTACATCCTGATAAAGTACCATTCAACTGGAAGGGGGATAAGAGTAATATCATGCTATTACTAGGAGAGGCTGTACAGAAGGTTAATGAGGCTAAGAAGAAGGTGATTATTATCATCATCATGGTGGTGGTGGTATTGTGACTAGGACTTATGATTATTAATGTAGTGTGAAGAGGCACTAAGTGCTACCAACATCAGAAGGCCTCTTCCACCAATAACAAGAAGAAGAGGAGTAGGAGACAATCATGACATTTACACAGTGTCCGAGAGTAAGACTGGAAGGAGGACCATAGAGGTAATAGCCTCCTACTCCTACTCCTGCTCCTGCTGTTCCTGCTCCTGCTGTTGTTGTTGCTGTTGGTCGTCAGTAATAGGAGGTAGTAGTGTTAGTGATGTAGATACATTGGATAGCAGGAGGGGATGACAATAATTATGGTAATGCATCATCATCATCATCATCATCATCATCATCATCATCATCATCAGAAGCAGCAGCAGCAGCAGCATCTCAACGTAAGATTGATACATATCATATATTTCTCCAAAGACCTGACAAGAATGATAGGTATTATAATCTAATAATATGATGATGATCATTATTATTATTATTATCAGATATTCAGTCGGTACTGTTAAAGATAGTAGTGATCCATGGGTTGTTATATCAGAGGATGATGCCAGGTATTATTATTATCATCACCACCATGCTATTATTAATATCATCATCATAATCCTTGTATATAGGTTCACTAACTTCTTCCTATACGATAAGATTATTGTATATATAACAGCGTACAATGCAGCTGGACATTCGGAACCTCTCACTATTGAGGTTCCACTCTCAATTAATGGTATTAAATTCCCCTATACAACAACATCAACAACAACAAAGAAAAGTCCGCATGTAAATGGAGGAGGAGAAGGAGGGAGCAGAAATCCTGCTGCTCCTGCTGATAGTAATGTGAAGCCTTATATGACATATCTTAATGAGATCGTATCATCATTATACTTATCCCGTAATGATATAACATCATTAAGAATAAGGTTAGGAAGACTGAGAGTTGATGATCTGAAGGCTATTATCAGGTAGTAGTATTATATTTATGAGCATATGTTTATGATCCTACTACTACTACTACTACTACTACTAATACAGGTATAACTTAAAGGAAGTTCCTCGTGGTAATAAGCCTGTATTGATTGAGACTATTACTGATGCTATTATTCATAATCGAGTTAACTATTAATATGCATGTTGTCTACCTTCAATTTCAATTATCAGGCTTTTGTGTTTTTTACCCAGTAAGCAGCAGT